AGGGAAGAATCAGCCCAGAAAATACTGCTTGGAATGAGAGAAGTGCCTTCTCCCTGGGCTTATAATTTCTCAAGATGCCATTCATGGAGGAGGGCTCACCTGGGGTAGCAGGTGATCCCAACCTCATGGTCAAATGTTACTGAAAATGGCAAGAGCCTTACTGATGGAGTGAGGTGTAAGAACAAGGGCCTGCTAATGGAGAAATCACCCAGAAAAGAGGGATGTTTCCTAGGGTGTGTGTGTGTGTGTGTGTGTGTGGAGAGAGAGAGAGAGAGAGAGAGAGAGAGAGAGAGAGAGAGAGAGAGAGATTGATTTCAGTGTGTGCACATGAACTTGTACCTCCACAGAACCTCAGGTGCTCTGACCTCTCTACCACCAACACCAACCCCTAAGAAACTTCAAGGCAGAAGCCAGTGTGAAGGTTGCAGATATCATCTCCCATGTGGTTGGTCGCCTCTTTGTTTTGTCAATGGTTTCTTTTGCTGTGCAGAAGCTTTTTAGTTTGATAGAGTCCCATTCATTTATTTTAGCTTTTACTTCCCTTGCCTTTGAGGTCAAATTCATAAAATCCTCTTTGAACCCAAAGTCCATAAGTTTAGTACCTATGCTCTTTTCTATGCAGTTTATTGTTTCAGGTTTTATGTTTAGGTCTTTGATCCATTTTAAGTTAATTTTGGTATATGGTGACAGATAGCAGTCTAATTTCATTCTTTTGCACGTGGCTTTCCACTTTTCCCAGCATCGTTTATTGAAGAGGCGTTCTTTTCCCCGTTGTATGTTTTTAGCTCCTTTGTCGAACATTATCTGCCTATGTACAATATATGTGGGTTTATTTCTGGGCTCTTAATTCTGTTCCTTTGGTCTGTGTGCCTGTTTTTCTGCCAGTACCATGCTGTTTTGATTATTGTCGCTTTGTACTATAAACTGAAGTCAGGGAGTGTGAGACCTCAAGCCTTGTTCTTTTTTCTTAGGATCGCTTTGGCTGTTGGGGGTCTTTTGTGGTCCCATAGAAATCTGATGATTTTTAAATTTTATTTCTTTAAAAAAAAGCCATTGGGATTTTGATAGGGATTGCATTAAATCTGTATAGTGCTTTGGGTGATATGGCCATTTTAACTATGTTGATTCTTCCAATCCATGAACACGAAATATCTTCCTGTTTCTTTGTGTCTTCTTCCATTCCTTTTAATCATGTCTTAAAAGAAATGGAAGAAGACCTGTAGGTTTGATACTACAAACTCCTCACTAGTCAGTAAGCCTCTAAACACTCTGGCCATAAAAATGTACGCACCAACGCCTGTGTGGGGAGGGCAGTCATGATTACGCTGCATAAGCTGCACTGCATTTGTGTAGCATGTTATGGTTTCTAGAGCACTGTCATGGATGTTGCCTACTCACAGCCAATCTTGATGTAGACAGGGCAGGAATGATTATTTTACTTTATAAAATGAGGACACTGAGGCTCGGAGGTGTTAGCGACGGTGCTATTGTCATGATGATAGTAAGCGGCAAAGCTGGGAGCAGAACACAGGTTTTTGGATTCCTAGCACCATGCTTTCACTAAACACCATTACCTGTATCACACCATATTGGCGTATATTTTTTAACATTTAAAATAATTTTATCTTATTTTTCTCATAGTAGAGCTTCCTTAATGGCAAGATAAGTATCATGTTAGGGAAACGTGGCACAAAGTAAGTAGAGTATAGGTTTTAAAAAGCATATAGATATTACAAATTAAAGCAGCGTGTTAACTATCTAGCCTCCATTTGCTAATCAGTTTAAATTACTTTAATGTATGTTTTTAAACTCAAAATTAACTGCGATCCCAATATGGAACCCGCTTAATGCTTGGTGAATTACACTAGATCATTTTGTTTTGATTTCCTTCCTTTTGCAGGGTATCTCACGTTCTGGCACATACATCTGGAACTCAGGATCATCTTTCTATGGCCCGTAATTTCAAAAGAGGAATTTTCTCCTTGTATATTTTGTAGACTGATTCTTATACCTTGAAGGCACATATTATTTCCACACAAATTATTCACTTAACTTTTCTTCAAAGTCTCTTAATTTAATAATTCCTAATTGCACGTTGAAAACAAAGTTAAATTACAGTGTAAGTGAAGAACATAAATTGTGAGCTGTGTCTCCTATCTGGTGGGGACTCCTTGCGACTATGTAGTGTAGAGATTAAAGGTGACGTGTGCACAGGGAGATGACATGAGTACATCTGACTAGAACTGTTGGGACTCTGGAATGACCCCGAGTTAATTTCCAGAGAAAAGAGAACCTCTTAGCAGAAACATTTTCAATCAATAGCCAAGCAACCCAGAAAAAAATTAATTTGAATGAAGTTATTTTCCTACAGTGGCTGCATAAAAAGACATGCAATTCAAAGAAACTAGCCTTGAACATGACTATATTCCTCCCAATCAGAGGAAAATAACTGAGTCTAATTGACAGCCCCAAAGCGCAGACAAGAGAGGACATTTGAAAAAAACATGTTACTGTATCAAAGCGAGGTTAAGCAATGTTGCTTTGCTTTCTCCCCTCCCCTTCTTCTGCCAGTGACACGCTCATGCTGTCACACCCAGCATGCTTTAAAAGGAAACCACTTGAACGCCATGCCCGTTGCTTTATGATAACCTAACTCTTCTTCAAGAAGAAACTCATTTGGATTTTAAGGGATTGGGAAATAGTGGATTCATGTGATTTTTCCAATGGCGTGTCTTCAGCCCAGTACCACATCTTCTTTCAAATAAGCCAAGGACTGGGGTGAAAAGCTGGCAGGAAAGGAAAATGTGGGTGTGCATGGGTGTGCAGCATGGGTACAGCACTGTCGTGAAAGTCGATGTCCAGCCCCCACTCCTGCCAGCATCCGCTGCTTCATTTTAGCATCTTTACAGGAACAGGCATTCATATCCTAAGCGCATGCCTTGGACCAGACAGACACATATTCCTTGTTTTATAATTTTTTTTTATTTTATTTAAAGATTTTATTGGGGAATTGGGGGGATGGGAACAGTGCTGGGGAATTGGGGGAAGGGGAACAGACAAGTTGCTGTTGTTTTGTTCTTCAGTCTAGTTGTGGAGGACGTCGCTTCACTGGCCCAAGTTGGCACCATCATTGCGCTCTTCCCGGGCAAGGCAGATCAGTCGCCGGCTTCTGGACGGCCGCTCACTGCAGCTGCTGGCCGCTCACGCTGGCTGCTGGCTGCTCACGCTGGCTGCTGGCTACACACGGTAGCTGCTGGCTACACACGGTAGCCCATGGCAACCCACTGCCACAGGGGCTGCAGCCTACGCCGTCGCCGGCGACTCAAGGCAACCCAGCTTCAGGTTGAGCTGTTGTTCAGCATCTTAGCTGTGGAGGGCAGTGTCACTGGCCCTCATATGTGGGATCCAAATCGGGGCCCTCTGGCATCCCAAGCCAGTTCTTAACCATCGCGCCACTCGGCCGGCCCCTTGTTTTATAATTTTTCACCTGTTACCTCACTCTCTAGCTTTCTCACTATCCTACCACTTGCCAAAACTCAACCTCAGGCACAGATGGTGAGAAAATGATTTTTGCCTACCGAGCCAAAGAAAGTGCCCAAATATTAATGAGTATTTATCTAGCAACGGAACCTGAGACTCAGTAGACGAGAAGGACTCGGATTACCAACACTGATGTCTAAACTTGGGAAGTGTTTCATTTAGTTCAAGAAATTGCTTCGAGGTGCATTGAGTGATTATGCATAGAAGGGTCCAGGGTGCTTATGCACCGGTTACCAGAATGTCAAGTCCAATGTTAGATTGCAAATCGTCTCTGTGCAGGTGCTTGCCTCTGCTTTCTAATTTACAGCTGCCTTCCCTTCATCTCTTAGCCCTCACCCACCTCCAGGATTCCCAAATAAAAAGGTCTCCAAATGGATACTCTTTAAAAGGGCTTGAAGAACCCTGAGGTTGTCAAACCTCCGCTTTAACACTCCCCCTATTAAATGTTATTTCTATAGCTTGTAAACGTCTAGGGGAGTACAAGTTTGGTTCTGATTACATAATTATGCTACAGAAATATGGGGAAAAAATCATCACTAAAACCCTCCAGGTGCTTAAACAGTTTGATAGACTGTAGCCATTCTGCCATCAGCGCCCCCAGCTGTGTTGCTTAGCAACATTTTAATTCCAGAAGAATCCAAGGAGATGCAATCCCTGTGGAGAGGGAAACAGAAATAAGAGGGCTGTTGACAGATGATCTGAGTTGTTTCTTCTAATATACTGTGAAGATCACTAGCTCTTTTCATGAATGATAAATGGACTGTACACAGATCAATGGGTTCAGCAATAAACTGGAACCAGGCTCCATGTCTAAGGAGAAGCAGACCCAGAGTGCCCAGAGTGTTCCTCGTTTCGATGATTTGGTGTGTGTTTTCTTAAAGGTTCCGCGGGAGGAAATTGATCCGAGCATTTGGTCATCCCTTGCCCTTTTGTGGTATCTGCTAATAAAAATGATTTTAGAAATGGATACTTTGGCCTTTCTGTCACCACGCAGGCACAGCCAGGTGTCAGTAGTAAGGCAGGGTAAAGGGCTCCGGCGCCCTATCACAGATATGCCCGTGACTTTTCCCTCTGCACCTACCTCTCCCCAACCTTCACCCCCGTCACAACAGCTGAGCAAGTCCACACACAGGGGGCGGGGGTAGATTCAAGTGAAAGGCTGGGAGAGGAGGGTCCACTTGTGAACTTAAGTGCCCACTTCTATGGGCACTGCTGAACTTGCCAGGCAGCCCTAACAATGCCTGCCTGTGTCTGCAGCCTGCCTTTAGACAGGTAACCACGTTCCCTGGGAGAGGAAAATTGCTCCCTGCATCTCCAGTCTGCTTATCTCCAGTAGCCTGCTTTGCTTAGCTCCTTGTGTTTCTGAAGAGCGTTTTATACTGCTTATTGTTTTGGGAACTAGTTGCAAAGCTTATGCCTGCTAATGTTGTCTAATTGCATTTGTTTTCTTCTGTTTACAGGCTGTTGAAAAGGCAAAACCTAAGAATAACCCTGTGAAGTAAGTTATTTTTTTATTAGTTGGGAATTTTAATTTGAATGGACTCCATGCATGTGGAAAAATAAGGTCATAAAAGAGACCTTGGATTTTGAGGTAATCTCTATTCATGAGAAGTGAAAAACAAAAACAAAACAAGCAACAAAAAGATACCACCAATGAGAAGGAACCAGCTTTTATTTTTTTTTCCTATGGTCCTAATGTTGAAGTGCCCTAAGTTGTGCCCAGTTTACATAAATTAATATGTGCCATCCCTGAATAGCTGCCAAATACTATTATAATCATATTCAATGCATAGTACTTCAAGCCTTTGGATTTTGCACATGCTAAAAAGATTACATTTTTAATTGCAAACCTTGGACCTATGACAGAGACATAAATGGCTGAATATGTGCCAAGTGATTTCTAGCCACGTGGGGGGAGGTTTGGCACATTGGCATCAAGGCTTCACAACTCTGTTAATGAAAAGCTCATAAAAATATATTTAACTAAAGGTTTTCCTAGCTAACAGAGAGCTATTTCCAAGGCATTTTATGGCACACTCTTAAATTATAAACAAACTGCACAGAGCTCTTTTAAATATAGTACATCTTAGACATCCTGTCTCTTCCAGAAGGGAGACTTTCAAATTAACAAGGATGTATGTCTTGTCATTTGGGTTTGTGACATTCGATTGCAGTGTTATGTTGCAAACCAGTCCTGCAAACCACGTGACCTAGAGAAGATTTGCTCTATTGGCTGGGTTATCATAGGTCTGGTAATATCACATCTCTAGGAACTACATGTTAATTTGTGTCAACTGACTTCCATTATATTGGGTACCAAATGCAGAAATGGAGAGTGCATTGATCTTTAATGGTCTCTGGGAGAATGGATCACCTAATGCCAGTGACAAGAAAGCTGCTCACGTTTGTTTTGTAAAAGAATTAACTATACCAAGTCACCAGGGGAGTGTTGAGCACACCATTAAATCCAAGCTCTAATTCTTTTTCCAAAAGGTATTGTGTACTTTGTTTTTCAATTTAATTTTTCTTGGGCCACATAATATTTCTTGCAGGGGTTCTGTTACCCCTCGGGGGGACATCTGTAGTGTGGAGATGTGTTACGTGGTAGTCGTCCTATGGGAGCATTTTTAGTAGCTGAGTTTTTGTGTGGTGGTTTGTTTGGGGATGAAATGTCTACAGCCTGATTTCTTTTCTGGTGGTGCCCAGAAGGCTTTTCTACTGCGAGCTCTGTGGATTAGACCACTGCAGTCCCTGGGTGGGCCACTAGTGATCTTTCCCCTAGCCTGACTGCACCCCTCCCACTGGCCCACCCATGTGCAGATGTGTGCCCCAGGTCACAAGGGATGGGGCAAGGGTTGAAGGAGTGTAAATCTAGGCCCTCAGTAGGACAAATGTCTCCAAGTTCAAGTCCTCTCGAGAGGAAGTGAATGCCAAGCTCCATCTTTGGGTGCACAAGAAGGCCCATTGGTAATGTGCAGGGCTGCATTCGATCGTACTCTGGTGGCCTGGAAGTGGGACCCATTTTCTCTCTGCTGCTTGCAAGGATCTGACCCTACAGATAATTAAATTTTTATGAGCTCTTATTAATTCACAGGGCACACTCTATCTAATGTCTTGCACTTTAAGGAATATTGTACAGAGAAAGCAGGAAAACTGGAAGAGCGAAATGATTAGTCATAGAATATGGAGCTTTTTGCTTTTAACTATATTTGAAAATCTGCTTAGTAATAAGCCTACATCACAGTCAACTGGTAGACGTGTAGAAGTGTCTTCTAACTCAGTAAGATACTGTTCTCAGTGTGAGTTTCAATGTCCTGTTGCCCTTGGGCTCGTGAGACCTGACTTACTTGCCCAGTCACAATCATCAAGACACTTTAAGAAGAGAGGCCTCTTGAAATCCTCAGCTCAGGGACAGGAATTCCAGAGCATGGTTCAATTACGTAGCCTGACAGCAGACCACAAGTGGAGTTGTAACATGATTTATGTATAGTGGTCCTCTTTCGATGTCTGATGTCTGCCAGAGAACTTCAGTTACCCACAATGCACTGGGACCCCAAATAGAGTAAGGGTTCAATATATGTTTTCTGAATGAAGGAACAAGTAAACAGACTGGACACATGCCAGAAAACAGTTCTTTCTGCAGCCCGCCCTGGAGGTTTAATAAGACTGATGTCTCTGTGAGAGTAGAGTTTCAGGCCAGAAGCGCCAGTATGTTGTAACTGACCAGTTTATCAAGTCTCTTATTCTTGACTCATGCCACATGGAAAATATTTACATGTTGCTCTGGTCCATTCTAGCTTCTTTACCTCTGACAAGTTACCAGCTTGATTTTGTACACAAGAATTAACATTTGATTGTTTGTTCGTGCATTCAATGGAAAGTGTGTGTAGCCTTGCTGGAAAAGTAGGGAGGTCTGGAGGCATCATTTACAACTAAAGGATGAACACAGATTGCTGAAGATGATCCGATGTGAGGCTGGATGTCATCCTTGGGGGTAGAGTTTGGCAAATGGTTGGTAAAAAAATCAAAAGAAGGATGGCTCATGACATGTGAAAATGCAATGAAGTTCAACTTTCAGTGTCTACACAAAAACATTTATTGGCCTATAGCTTCACTCATTTGTCTCCATATTATTGGGGGTTCATTTTGTGCTACAGTAGCGGACTCAAGTAGTTGCGACAGACACTGTAGGGACCTCAAAGCCAAAAATATTTACTACCTGGCCCCTTCCCGAATCAGTCTGCTGACCCCTGCTCTAGTTGGTCAGGGAGAAAAAGGCACAGATGTCAGCTTTCCTATAACTGTGAGGGTTAAACTATCCACCTTTTTGTCCTTTAAAACATTCCAGTAGATATTATTTACTTAAGCCCTTATTGTCTGTTCTGGACTTTCTAGGGCTGATGTACCACCTAATTCTTATTCAGAGCAAAGTGATTACTCCTAATTCACTCTCTTTAAAAATGGTGATGATATGAGCTCCATTGACAGGGCAGCGATGTCTCAGAACCCAGTGAATACATAGCTAGAACATACTGCTAGTCTTCAAAGTTGTTAGTAGATAGATTGCAACAGGTACATGCATTTTCTACAATTCTGTCACTTCCCAAGATCTAACTAAAGCTCAGTAAGCTTCCTATTTGAGTGAGGTAAGTGATTCACACTGCCCATTTCATTTGTATAGTTTCATTTCTAAAGGTGGGCATCCCCCTCCATATACCTCAGTCACTTGTCCAATTTATTTTTAATACCTTCATGGTTGTCACCTTTGGTCATCACCACAGGGAGACTGTGGTGCACATTAATTACACTCCATATAAAGGAGAAACCAAATATCTCCTTAGTGAATGTAAGCATGTAATGTACCTGGATACACTAATGACTTTACCCTGAAATATTAAATATTACCTTTGAGGGTAAGAATCAGATTGAATGTTCTTAAGATCAGTGATCAGGATAAGAGATGCCAGCGTATTTCTCAGTGTGTTGGAACCATGCCGGCATCAAAGCTTGATCAGTAGCTTCAAATTGTGGCTCTTTAATGTGTCAGAGAGACTTTTACATGTAAGTTCATGGTCTGTGGCAATTATGTATCTCCAAGCTTTCATTGTGACAACAAGGCCTGAGAGATGTACAGATTTCTTCTACCATATGTGACTTATCACATACATTTTTTTAAAAAACACATTTCTGTTATTAAGACATATGTGATAGTACACTTCTGCAAATGTGAATTGCTTTTGGCTCTAAGCCATGCACTAATAAGTTGAGTTGAATCTAACCAAGGTTGACATCTGTTAGAGAGAGAGACAGAGAGAGAGAGAGAGAGAGAGAGAGAGAGAGAGAGAGAGAGAGCAGTTGTCAAGCATACAATTTTTTCTTGCTTTTACACTTTAACAATGTTAAACAATGTGGTTGTTGTCTTTTACAGATAAGGATCAGAATCCACTCTGCTTAGGAAATTACAGCTTTATTTCGGAACCCATCCATTTGATAGATATGGTGGTTTCGTTATGGAAAATGACAAATAGCCACAAAGATTTTCCTGCCCATGATGTTTGGGCATTATTTATTTATTCATCCAATGAATATGTATGGAGGATCTCCAGAATTCCCGGAACTGTGATAGATGGTGAGGGTTTTAAAAATAAATCTGACACAGGTCTTACCCTCGAGGAGTTTAGAGTCCAGTAGGAGAGATCATCAGTTTGTAAGGAACTAAATACAAGATAGAGAGATATGTTTGTTAAGTGGGGGACAGAGAAAGTACAAGGGAAGCTGAGGACAGACAGTCCTTCTAGTTATCACTATTGGAGAAGGGGGGAGGAGGGAGAGACACTTATACTAGGACTTAGAAGACTGCTGGATTAAGACACTGGTGCCCAGGTGGCAGGCAGTGAAAGGTTGGATTGGAAAACGAGGCTCAGAAGAAACGGTAGCTTAGGACCCTTGGGGCTTATCCAGTTGAAAGAGATTATTTGGTAGAGTCAAATAGCATCGAAGAGTTCTATCTTGTTACTGTGAATTAGTTATCAAGTAGTCCCCTAATTATCAAATGGGAACAGGGTCCATAGACTTCATGTAACACTAGTTTGTGGTATGAAATTGGACATGTTCCTTCCTTGCTCCAGACCCCAGCTAGATGACTTGTATGGTTCTTTCACCTCTTAAAAAAGCCAAAGCTTGAAACCCTGTTTTATAAGTATGCTTATTTTAGGAAATGTGTGATGTGAATGTTTGATGTACATGTATGCAAGTGCATACATTGTAAACATTGCACATATAACACACGTGTTTACATGCGCACACACACATATACACACACAATGCCTTTTTTCATCATTTCTGCCTTGTGCATCTTTGAAAGGAAGGACAAGAAGTCACATCATCACAGTTTTAAAGAGCTATGTTAGATACAAGATAGATGGGATTGAGCTTTTTAGATGACGCCTTAGAACCAACGGTAATTTTGTGGTCAGAGTCCATATCTCTTGTGACGCT